TGTCACACACATCAGTTCCTTCTGGGAAATAAGTGCAAGGTGATCCTATCAGGACTTGGATGAACATGTATTTATGCAGAAGAGTAATAGGGGATTTTCATAGACATATTTAAAACTTGCTATCATGATCTCTTATTTTTGCTTTCACTTTTCGTCTTTTGGTTACAAGTCTACAGTTGTCAAAATTGCAAACATGAGTTTGCTTATATGGGTCTTAAAGGTAGAAATCTACCATCTTTCCCTTTGTGTTCTCCAACCAGACAGGTCCTGGAATTCTAACTTCAGAATTTAAAAAATTCATAGGGAAAAAAACCCCAGCTTTATGAAATAAACTGTCAGATGAAATTTGCCTGATTTCAAAGGCTGTGGTTACATACATGTTACTGTAAAAATGGGCTTGTTTTCAACAAGACATACCTGTGTAAGTTCAGTGTTAAGCTGGTGAGCTGGTGTTGACCCAATACTTAATCAGTCCTGTTCAGCTCCTGAGAACAGGGGAAGGCAGGTGGATTAGCAGTGGCTCAGGCTGTTTCTTGCCCTTAGGTTCGTTTGAGAAATCAAAATGAAACAATTGCAATTTATATAACCACAGGGCCAGGGAGTGGAAGGAATCTTTAGGGGTGCTTCTATTCTGCTGTTAATAGGAAGGATTACCTGCACAATAGAAGAGATTTTAAAACAATACCTTTTATGATTTTCAAGCTCCTTTACCTCATATATTCATCAAATCCAGAGTCTGTCAATGTTTCCTGTTTTAAAATATCTATCTTAAGACATGCATATACTCCCCACATTGCCCCTACAGATTTAAGATAGCTATGTACATATAAACCAAATTCCAAAATGACCTAGGACCAAAATATCTTCCCCACTTACTGTAAGGTAATCCCAACATTAATTATCTGTGTTATGCATGACACAGAATGAAATCCAACCTTCTAAATCTGGGTTGTTCTTTTCCAGTAGTCATTTCGATGTAGTCTCTTAAAACTTGCAACCCTGCCAACTCTGGAATGTCTCAACCATTTTATTTTCACCTCAAAGTTTGGGAATGGTTTAACATTTTAGATGACTTTCATAAAAGGCAGGGGTCAGGGGTTTCTAAGAACTGTTTCTTTTGTCATGAATTACCTTGCTGACGATATAATTCTGCACAGAAAGATTCTGTTCTTTTCCAGTTGAAATTTTACTAAGAATACCAACTCAAATATTTCTGTTTGTTTGACAATATAAAAAGCCTCTCTGGGAAAAAAAATAGTGATGACTGTCCTGTGATGTAATCAGCAAAGCAACACAAAGATGAATACACAACAGGAGGTTATTTTTCAAGTATATGAAGAAACCCTATTCTAAAAGGCAAGGCTGAATGCCTCAGAAAAGTCATGGTTTTCTTTGTCCTTTACAGATGGCCATCACAGCAGTGACCCTTGGAGCTCCTCCAGTGGAATGAATCAGCCTGGCTATGGAGGGATGTTGGGCAATTCCTCTCATATTCCACAGTCTAGCAGCTACTGTAGCCTGCATCCACATGAACGTTTGGTAAGGAAGGATGGGGTGAGCACCCGCCAGTTTCTGAGTTTCATCTCTGTGTACACAAGGACTCTGCAAAGAGGCAAAAATAGCTCATGCCTATTATTCTTAGAGTTTTATTGTTTCTGTGGTCAAAGGCTCAACAGAAGCGGATCACCTCTGTAAACCTTGTAGAGCTTCTATGTCATTGTTCTTTTGTTTATTGTGTTTTGTTCTGTTTTCTTTACGGCGATGTCAGCTTCCTTTGGTTCATAAACACAGTGGATTTGAGTGCCAGGCTTCAGCAATGGCAGTGCCTTGCATTTTTTACTGTCTAAAATTCTAAAGAATGCTCTGCTAAGGGCAGAGTGAGAAAGATTTGCGATCACAGGGGTTTCCATGTCAGCTTTGACCTTTTGTGACCTACTACAAGGAAAGGGTTTATGTTTTTATTTAGTATTGTTGGGGATAGGAAACTGTGGAATTGCCACATACATGGGATTTTGAATTTTAATTCCACACAAGTGCCACTCATGTTCTGTTTCGATGAACAACCCAGTGAAAGCTGCTGGCTTGTATAATATTAAGTTTTTCCTTAGTAAGGCTTTTCTACTCTTTCCATGTCTTCTGCTTACTCACCTTTGTATAGTGTATTTCCTTGTCCCAGAAGAATCAAGCATCTGACTCTCACTAGGCTTAAAAACTACCACAGCCAAGAATCTACATATGTAGTTAAATATATCATTAAGTAGAAGAAAAATGTCTAGATCAGGAGTTGGGTATGGGATGTAGGTCACATGAGACTCAAGTTCGTTGTTCATTAATGTACAGTTAAAAATAAGATCCACAGGCTGGGAAGATGCCTCAGTAGGTCTGAGTACTTGTAAGCATGAGATATCCTCAGCAGTCATGTCAATAGCCGGGTACACCTGTGTGCGCCTGCAACCCCAGCAGTGGGTACACCTGTGTGTGGAGATGGAGATAGGGAAGGGATATAGAATGATACCAACATCTTGCTGGGCCAGGTAGGCTGTCTAGTAAAAAGGGGAGCCTTAGGTTCAGTGAGAAAACCAGTCCCAATGCAATGAGGTAGAGAGTAATAGAGAAAGACATCCAAAATTCTGCTCTGGTCTCATGTGCACACACAGTTGTATATACCTTCATACCCACATGCATCACACACACACACACACACACACACACACACACACACACCTTCAAACCTCACAGATGTGACAGAAAGTCTATGGTCCATGATTATGACTTCAGCACTTCTCTTCTTGCTGTTTTTCCTCTCCTTTCCTTATTTCACATTTATTACTTTTTTTTCCTCTGTCCTGACCAGAGAAATTCTTTCTGGATTCCTGTGATCAGTTCTCTCCTTTGTTCAACCACTGCATATATAGAAAAAGGAGGAGGGGCTTTATATTCTTCTCTGATGGCTGGAAGATTCTAGAAATAAAAGTTTTGATACCCTTAAAAGTCCACTCTTAGTTGGTCCCAGAGCTCCAGATGTTGTGGTCACTTAGCTTTTACTTTCCTGAGGAACAGGTGGTAGTGATGGGAGTGGCCAGTTTGTTATCTCCAGGTTTAGCACATTTTCAGCAAATAGCTAATCACTGAGTTTCAGATTTCCTCTTCTCCCACCCTATACTTGGAGACATTTGACTGAAAGCTTAGAGAAATGTAAACTGTAATAATAATAGAATGTCTTTTGGTAACATTTTTACTTATCCACTACCATTTCCTACTTTCCTTAGGGCTCATAATCAAAACCAGGGAAGTAATGATGGCAAATTAAAGTTTGGAATACTATGTTAAATGTTTGAATTTCAGTCCTTGGAAGATTTGTCCACACATTATTTTCCTTTCCCCTGTAGTTATTTCTTTTCTTATTTTATAATTTTGCATTGTGATATGATTTTATCCCACCAAAGTTCATGGCATGGGGAGGAAGCCTTTAAACTATGCTCAGGTGCCCAAAATGTATTTCAAATCAGAAGTCACTTTAGAAAAAGGTGTGTGTGTATGTGTTTTTTTTTAAGATTTCTTTATTTGATACACACACACACAAAAAAAAAAAAAAGAAGAAGAAGAAGAAGGCATCAGATTCCATTATAGATGATTGTGGGCCACTATGTGGTTGCTGGGAATTGAACTGAGAACGTTTGGAAGAGCAGCCAGTGCTCTTAACCTCTGAGCCATCTCTCTAGCCCCCTGGAAAAAGTTTTAATGAATCAAAGCAGTGTCATCGTCAAGAAAGAAAGTTCATTTTAAAGCAGTATCTCAGTGGGCCACATGTAAAGCCACATGTCCATCACAGAACTCCAGTTCTCATTTTTAATATGATCATATAGCAGATCTCAGAGAGTAAGAGTTTTGCTTTAAAGGGTAAATGGATAAAGTCTCTGGTAATGTATCCTAATGAGTTTTTCCCCTGAGAGTGAAACTATTGAATTATTACATCTAGTTATCATTGTAATTTCAGTATTTAACCATATGACAATCTCTCTCTGAAGTGACTTTGAAGACTCTGACACTGATTGGGAATAATTTGAATATACAACAGCAGCCAGCATCTTTTATCTTGAAAATAGTGATGGTTCCCTACAGCTCCGTTCTGTAGCATTTGGTTAATCCCATTCTGAAAGGAGCTAACTTATGAGGAAGAGAGCCTTCCCTGGATTATTTTGGGTATAATTTGACCGCTGCCATATTATCTCTAGAGGTAAAACATTTTGGAAACATCATTAGCCATGTTATAATAGACTGTGCAATTAGGAAGTTTCATTTCCATGCATTTCACCTGCATCTGTCCAGTTACCAGTTTTAAGACTTTAAATCCCTTGACAGTTTTGGCTTTTACAACTGAACCCCATAGCTCATCTCTGCTTGTTGCAGATATATATACACAGAACCACCCTGATGAATGGAGTTTGTGGTTAAGCTTTGGAATTGGTCTTTATAGAAAATTTAACTTTGGACTGATTTGGCCAAGATGGTTGAAAAAGTAGGATAGAGTCTTTATTGCCTGATGTGATTGACACATAGCTTTAGCATTACATACTGAAGTGTTCTAAGGAAATCTGAAATTTTAGCATAAAGGAAGTTCTGCTGTCTTTATTTTTGTGCGTCAGTATTTTGTAACTGGGCTAAAGGTTACCCTCAGGAACCATTGGACAATGCTTAGAGACATGTTTGTTGTTACAGCTAGGATATAGATGCTACTTCAGTTCAGTAGGTAGAGGATGTTAGTAACCATACACACAGTAAAGACCTGTACCAATGAAACATCTGTCACAATAGGCCATGAGGGCCAAGACTATGAAACCCTAATTTAGCCTACAGCATGATTTTATTTTTAGCATATACTACCAGTTCTTAGATTTTTGAATCTTCATATCACCAAGCCACACATCAGTAACAAACATCACCAATGTGAATGTTTGTAACACTTTTGTGATTAATAGATTCTAAGCTGGGTGCCAGAATTAAAAAATTAACAGTGTGGATGGATATGAGAGGCCATGAAACTTCAACTGACCACATTCCCCTCACACTTTTATAGCAAGCAGAATGTGGATGTTAATAGCTGAAGAAAGAAATCATGAATATCTCTTAGAGTTGATCCCCATATCCTCTGAAAGAGACATCCATCACTAACGTACTTGGTGCTGGTGTATTTATGCTCTCTGAGTAATGTTAGTTTTCAAGATACTTCTCATTGAAAAGTAATCTTGTAATGAATTTCATTAATTTGTTTCAGCATCTAATTGTCTATGTGTCTCTAAGAACAATAGCTGATTTAGTGTGGATTGCATTGGTTTCTCCATTAAACTGTGGGGATTGTTTTTTGTTCATGTTGTCTGCACTTAGCCTTAACCCTCTGTGTGTCATATCCTAAATTATCCTCCATAAAGTTAGAAGGGTCCAAAGAGTCTCACTTATGATTTTCCCCTGTTACATCTAATTACTGTAATCATTAGATATTTTTGCATCTTTGAAATCCCTGTTTTGTTTCTGCCAAAACTCAGCAAGCAATACTGCTATATAAAAGTACAGTCATGTCATCTTTCTCTCTTTCATTCTTCTCTTCCACGTGGTTCTTTATTCTCTGTATCGCTATCATAATCTTTTATCTGGAGAGCAGAATTTGCTATGTCCCAACTCTTACAAGTTTTATTTTCCAAGTCCTGTATCCTATCTAGTCTTTTTTTATTATTTGTACTGTAGAGTAGCCCCCACTCTATTTTTCTTTAGAGAACATTGTATGGGCAACTTGGGAGAGTCAAGTCCCGAGTATAAATGAGTTTTAACAAGAGGCCCAGGGACAAGTGCATTACCTCTACCTTTTTCATCGTCATCTTCTAAGCTTATCTATCTTGTTACATGGAGGTGATATTTTCAAAGACATTCATGTGTCCCTAGCAGACCCAGCTCTGAAATGTAGATGCGTGACCTGGACTGTTTGGTAGTCTTTCCAATAAGTCATACTTCAGTCCGCTGAATATGTACTGTCATTGTATCTTTACTACTTATCCACTGACATGAGGAGGTATGAGCTCCATCCCCTCCCCTTAAGGGAGTTCACATATTATGGGAATGGACTTGAACAGCAAGCAATGGATGACATATGAATGAGTGTGAGATGGCACAGTGTAGCATGCAGGTTCAACTGGTTTCAACTCATAAGAGAGTGGTGAGCAAAGAGAGGGGCTTACTGGCCAGCACCAAGAAACCACTTTCCTTCCTATGAACAAATACCTGAATTTTAGTACTTATGGTGTTTACAGTACCTACTAGCTCTATTTTAAAACCAATTTTGGAAGCATCTCTAGACATGAGACAATAATGATCCATTGCCCAGTCTCTATTTTTAAATTAAATAATTAAATGCATCTATAATAATGACTTATTAAAATTTGTAGACTATTAATTTTTCACATGCCAGGAAAATTTTTATCTTTACATATTTTTTCTTTTAACATATCTGTATAGCACATCCAAGTACTTATGAAAACAAAAATAGGCAATTTTCTACTACTGGGTTTTTTGTTGTTGTTTGATTGCTTTGGGAGAAATTAGCTTGAGGTGTCCTTGTAAATGCACATGTTCTTTAGTGATGGGTACAGGCCAACTAATGTGCCACCTTAAATCATTTGAACAACTGATACAGCAATTGAATTTGAAGCCAAGTGACCCTTTAAAGATGTTCTTCCTTCATAATCAGCTAAATAACATATGAAGCATGCAAAGCAGGAATTCACAGTGAAGTAAAGCATAGTCAAGCCTTTGGATCCCAAGTCAAGTCATCAAAGCCACTAGTAAGATTTCCTACCATCATACTTCAGAGAGAATTAGCTTTTAATTATTTTAAAACTTTTTATTTCCTGTCTTGTTCTTGATGCTGAGATTTATTCAGCAAGATGATCCCACTGGGAAAGAAGAATATTCCTGTTACTTTGCCATGTAGTGGCTAGAGGCCAGGGTCTGATTTAATGTGAACTCTGGAGATCTGTGTAATGTATTCATTCTGTAGAGTAGTGTTTTTCTACAGAAAAATAGCAGAAATCGTTATGTACAATTCTGAAGTGTATGGAATGATATTTTAAACCATGATTTGGGGTTTTTTATCATCTTTTCTTGGTGCCCTAGGTTGCTATGATATTCTTTGACATTTGATGTAACCACAAATCAACTTTGGATCTATGTGCATTTGGTTGTTTAGAAAATGAATGTTGTCAGGTATAAGCAGGATGTTTGCTTGACTGTTTTGAGATTCTGAAAGAGTCTCCCTTGCAATATGGTGAGTTTTGAAAGAAGTATCAGAAAACTAAGTATACTGTGATTGAATGTAGCCTCCTTTCTGCCCCCTGCTGCAGAGCTACCCATCCCACTCCTCAGCAGACATCAACTCCAGTCTCCCTCCGATGTCCACGTTCCATCGTAGTGGCACAAACCATTACAGCACCTCTTCCTGCACACCTCCTGCCAACGGGACAGACAGTATAATGGGTGAGTGATGCACATGCCAGTCCAGATGCCAGTGTCCCATCACAGCGTTGAATAATGAAGGCCGTCTCTCTCTCTCCTCATAATGAAATTACAGCCAGGCAATAAATATTTGTCATATCACCAAGTGAACAGGTGAATGTATTGAATAGGAATAATCACTGGCTTTCCCATAGTCACTTTTTTTTTTCCTTTTGGTAACAAGAAACTTAAATTTGGCTTTATTCTTCATTATGAGTCATTAAGTTAAATAAAGGTTTGAGTAGATCCAGAATCTATTGCATCTCACATTCCCAAACAGGGGGCAAGTGAATTGTTCTTAAGATTATTCATAGAAGACCAATGAGATGAGGGAAAGGATGCCCCATAATAGCAGTTATTCACCACTTTCCAGAAATTGACCATTATGCTGACGTCCTAATCATGATATGTCACTGACTTCCAAAGACTTGTTTATATGAAATTTCCAATTAAAAGTCCTTTTATTAGCTAGATGAATTTAACCTTCAGAGAATGTAGTATTATGGAGCCCTTGAAGAGAAATGGGACTTGTTCACATTGGAGAGATGGCTGGGTAACAGTGGACCAGAAATTGTTTCCTGTGGGCTTTGTAATAAGTTTAGGCTCAGGAATATTGTTACTGCCAAATGCATCATCCACTCATGTCCTCTGATGTCTGTTGTGGTCCGTTAGTGCAGATGGATCTCTGCCAGTATTGTTTTTCTGAGGGAAGAGGAAACACTGGTAGGTGATGGGGGCAGCCTCTTACCCATGGATCAGCCTTGGCAAGCTTCTCATCCTGGTGTATAGCACATCTAGATGCACTAGGGTATTTTCTGGTCACAGCCCCTTCTGCTCCACTTTAAGCCACACTTGACAGGTGCATTGGATTGCTGTTCTATGACCAAGTGGCTGACTGAAGAGTTCAAGTTTCATCTGGACTCATGGTTTGAAGACACACAGCCTAGAATGACCTGGGACCTTGTTCTTGCTGGGTAGATCTTGCAGTGTAGATTATTACATCTCAGTGGATCAGAAAACAGAGATAAGATCATAAACAAGGCCAGGATGTCCTCACTGTGGTGTGCCCACAGTTGTCTGTGTCTGCCAGCCAGGCCCCATGTCACACAGTTTCTGCAACCTTCCAAAGCATCACCACCATCTAGGAACAAAGTGTTTGGATACATGAGCCTGTGGGGGACAATCTACATACAAACTATAATAGCTTGGCCTTTGAGATCACTCCCAGAAGGTCACTGCTGGAAAACTCAGGGTATGTTTTAGAGAAAACATCAAGCTGCTGTTTATTGCTTTAGTTTCTTGTTGTTGTTTGTTAGCTTTTTATTTAGTTTTTTTCTTTGAACTTTGGCAATTGTGTAAATCACTTACAGAGGAGAGTTTTTGGTGAAGGTTTTAAATTTTAAAGTATAATTTCTGGCTAACTAATGCCCTTGCTTGCCTATTCGCTTGTTTATTTCACCCTTGAGATGAGCCACCTAGCAGTTCTCTCCTATCACATCTCACAGAGAAGCAAATTTAGGAATGAGTTTCTGTTTCTGGAACTTTCCATAAGAGAACTTTTACAAGTACATTGTACAATCTGACCTTAGAGAATTATGGACAGAAGTCACATGGGGAAAGTTTTATTAGCTACCAGTGAAGTTTGGGCAGATTTGAAAAACAAGAAGAAAGAAAGAAAAGTGCAGAACTGAAATACTGATAGGGGCACATTTCACTCCAGTGTGGTTTGACAGATGGAAAGCCCCTTCTGCAGTCATGAGGTTGGTTACGAAGGATGGCTGGTCATTCATCCTCGTACATGACAGATTTCCTGTCTATTCGTGGTCTGAGTCATTTTCTTTTTAAGGAAGATATGGAGGTGGAACAGACCTTCGAGTTCAGGAAAACACACTTGGGCACTCTTTTAGAAACCTGTGTACACTTGATCTTCAGTCTTTAGGTGACTGACACATGCATCACTGGTTAAAAGAAATTGTGGTCCAGGTTATTCTCTGTGAATGTTGGACAGCTTTGTTGCCCAGTACAATGAGAATAAGGTTTGCTTGTTTGAGATGGTCCTCTCCCCATTAGCTTATGGACATACAGCACTTGGGCTGGGTAGAGGGATGGGTGACTCCTACAAAGAGCCCAGCTGCATGCTGAGGATACACTTAGCCTTATGTGTAAGCCTCCTCATGGGCTTGTTAAGGGTCCAGACAATAGTAAAAGGGCTCCAACTTTAAAAGAAAAATGTAAAAATTTTAGAACCCAGGCAAAGGATGCTTAGAAAATTTGTTACATACATTATTTTACAAGAATTGGTATTCTTGTCAAAAATCCATTGGGAAAATATAGAAAGCCATCATGATTTCTTAGAGAGTAAGTACATCTGGATATTCAGCCTCATGGAGAAAAAAAAATACCCTTATTAAATTTGCATAAATACAAAAGTCACTTTAAAACTACTTTGAGGCAGAATGTTCTTGAATATTCCAGTATGTTCTGCCTTAAAATAATGTACTTTCCAATTCCTTGTGTACAAATGCAGAGGAAAATCAAATCCAGTCATAAGCCTTAGTCTCACGGTATGCCAGTGCTGATGTGTCTTCGTGTAAAATTCCCTTAGAATTTATTTGGTTTGGTGTGTGGAAGGAGGCACCAATGGCAGCATGTCTGTATAACACTGAGAGAAGCTTTCTCTTCTGATGTCAGAGTGCTTCTCTAACACACAGTGAGGACTAATAGGATACATCTGTTGACTTTTGAAAATATTTGGCATATACTCACTCATTCTGAAATGCAGTAAATAAAGAAATACTACATTGCCTGTATCTCAAAGAACAAACAGGACTAATTAAATAATTGGTAAATAAGGAACACATAGCTGGACACATGTTTGAGATTACACACATGATCCTGTAGGGAACAAAACAAAAAAAAAAATAGTAAGAGTGCTAATGCCATAAGAATGGGTTCGAGCACTAACACATGGACAGCCCAGTTTTCAAGTTTTTTTGGCACAAAGTTGCAAGGCACTGGAGCTCTCTGAAAGCATTGATGTTTGAGGAAGCTTTCTGGGTTTAGAAGACTGCCCTGTGTCTCTGGATCATGTGATAATATTTTACCATAGTTGTCAGTCATTGTCTTAAAGTCTGTAGAGCCTTGTGGTATATGAGGAGTGAGAAAGGAGCACTGGCATTACAAGACACAGCCTCCCTAGGCCT